ATACTCACTGCTGAAAATCAGAAGGAGAGACACTTATTTTTCAACGAGACAGTATTCATATATTGGTGTCACACACTGTGAAAACTCGAAAGTTCAAATGGCTGTATTTTCTAAACGAAACATCCTACAGGACTGCAAACTTGTACAAAGATATCTTTTTTTGTTTATCTTCAACCCATTGTAAATAGGAATTCGTAAATTCTCGCTTTATGACTTTACAATTTGATGACGTCACTGTGAAAACCATCTGCAGTTGAAATTGATTTTGTAAAATTTCCTTTTCTTATTTTTGTGTTTATTTTACGTCTTGTTTTGTTTGTTTATTTTCTTTTGGAGCTTACCCCTATTTAAAGCCATCTGTTTCATGTGTTATTTGCCAAAATCCCAGTGCACCCCCCACCTGAACCCCTGTCCATCAATAAAATTCCTTGTTAACTTGTTTATGACTCAGAACTTTTCCTCATCTTTCACATCTATGGATAACTTTGACGAAAGCTGCCTACTCAATTATACGCGTAGGTAATTTCTGCTAAGTTTATCTTTTTTTGGCAAATGAGGAACTTGCTTGCTCTCTAATTAGTTTCCATAGAGATAAATGGTAATATTATGTGTGAGATAAATTTATTCGTGTAGCAAGTTGAGGTGTCTTCCGTGGCAAACCACTACTCCAATGTGATTTGCTGTAAATCTTTTAAAAGAAATCGCAGAAATTTTGCGATTTGCTAGAAAAGACGTTATACTAAGGAATGATTAGCATAATTAAGGAAAGCCCGCTTAGAATCTCCACATTTTTGTTAATAAAATTATGCAAGGTAATTTAACCGAAACTTAGCAAGGGGCAAAACATCATTAGTCGTACTGCTGATTAATTTACCACACACGCATTTATACGAAAGTGGAAGTTCTTGTTTTATTCATATAATACTGACAAAACGAAGCTACAGATCATTAAGCTCGATTTTTAGAACACTCCGTTACCTGAGACTTAAAGCCTAGTAGATTATATTAGGCTCGGAGATATTTCCATCTTAGTGGTCGACGGAAAATTTGAAAAAGCAATTTATTAAGTTGAGGTACGTTTACGCAATTAATAATTGATAATTTGCCAGACTACGCAATGTAAGCCCACGCTAAAGTCTTGACAGGAAGATTGTTTTCGTTTTTGTCTGCAATGTTGATATTCTCAGGAAAGCAACGACTATTCAATTAACACTTAAAAACGTCAGTGAAAACTGTTTTTCAGTGGTATGAACACTAAGCAGAAGAATCTTAAGTGGTTCATTAATATGAATTAAATTGGGCAAATAGTGAAATTATTTCGTTGAATTGGGAACAAAGTATTTGAAAGAAGTTTTTGTACTTTAATTTAGTTTAATCACCAGAAAAAGTCTACATGGAAATACTGCTCTCTCTCTCTCTCTCTCTCTCTCTCTCTCTCTCTGCTTCAAATTTCATCAAATCCCCTTAGTCATTTTTAAAACAAGCCATTTGTTCTATAATAAGGTTTTTAGACGAGTTTTCATATTATTTATTGATGGAAATGGTTTAACCTCTTTTGTGTCCGTATAAGGTTACAGACGAACGATATAATAAGTAGATGTGGGTGCTTGTTCTAATGCATTCAATTTAAAGACTGATTCAGACAAATGCTAAAACTTCACTTCTCGGCGTATCACGAGAAGATGAAAAAAACAGTAATTCAGAGAAACTACTTCTTCCTTCTATGGATCTTTGTCACGTTTGCATCTAATTCTGAAGGTACATAGACTATGTCTTTTATTTCCTTTATTGTAGTTTTTCAGTATATTATGACATGAAAAAAGAATCTCATATTTTCCCTCCCTTCTTTTAAAAAGCTTTCAGTCAAGGATCGATTGGCAACTTTTTCTACGTCAACTTCATGATAAGTGAATTTTCCTACCTGAATATCACAAGCATTGGGCGGAATCTTATTCAAGACGAAAACGATTGTGGCTACGCCTGTCTAGAAATTCCTTCATGTTTTTCCTACAATGTGGCTGCCTTTCCTGATGTCAACGGCAAACTTCTGTGTGAACTCCTGCCCTCGGACAAGTTTAACAACTCGGACAAGTTCAACGCCAGTAAAGAGTTTCATCACTTCTATATTCTGGTAAGTCAAACTTCTTATTACTCAAAAATGTTCCTTCTGGGGAAAATAAAAAGTTTTTTCTTGTTTGTTTGTGTGATTATTTTCTTTTGACTCTCGCTAGTTTCGAAAGTTAGCATTTGTTAATCAAAATGTATCTCTTCGCTTGGAAAATCTTGAATGCAGTGGATTACGTTGTGCTTCAAATGCAAAGGAATTGGCTAATGAGTTTGGATAAAAAAAAAACCTTATAAAAGTTTTACAACTAAGTTAAACCTTTCAACTCTTAATATATACACCTGCTGATACCCAAACATACTTGATGAGATCAATATATTTATGTTCGAATGTCCTAAACGTTAGTGAGGGGGGAGTTGCTAACAAAGGTCTCGACTGAAATATTTTCCGACAAAAAGCGTTTAGCTCGTAAAACACATTTGTCATATCATGAATTTCGCTTACTATTTCTTTGCATACTTGGCTTGCCTTAAAAGTTACAGAAACGTTTTAATACTCCTATTTTAGGCTAATCTTTTGCCAGCTAGACTATGTCAGCACAACGCCTTGAAATTCGGTAGCATCTCTGCAAATTTCTGGGTAAATGAAACAGCGTTGACTTTCAAAACCTCACTAAAAACTCAACTGAGCAAATCCAGCGGGGAGTGCAAAAGATAAACATGTATATTGCTTGCCGTCCTTAATTATATCGATGTCATTTGAGCATCGACATGTATGACAAATTCGTTGCTTTTTGAATCCATGAAACAAAGCGAAAGGGAAACAAAGAAAATTTAATCCCAACTTTTGTAGGTTTACAGAAAGCTGAATTTAATCCAGGGCTCGGCTCGTTGAAGTAGTTATAACATCATATAGTGAAGACAATGAATGTCTATAGTTTTCGTACTGAAAGTTAACTGAGGCCCCGAAACGTTCTCACTTTCTCGTGCTTTTCTTGTTCTGTTTGGACATTACTATGGCAACACAGAGTACCTAACCTGTTAACCTATGGGAACATTCAACTGAGGGAATTCGTATCCATTAAACGTTCCTGGCAATAAATGACTTTAAACGAGTAAACTGCCTTGTCGAAACAATTTTTATTGTATCGAGTTCTTCGTTCTTTTTCACACAAGCGGACCACTTTGATCCTTATATTTGGCTGATTCAATGGGATATTGTCATAGCAACGCACATTTAAAGATAGGACTGCCACCTGTAACTGATGAACCGTTCGTGTTTTGTTGTTATAAAAAAAAACAGCTTTTGTTATTGCGTCACAAGAAATACATGTTACTGGCGGTAGAAGTGCTACCCTGTGAAAAAGCAAGCATAAAGTTTTCTAAAAAAAGCAGACAATAATTGAGGGACTTATCAAAGTCTGCTTTACATTTGTTAGAGCTGCGCAAAATTCACGTTACTTGATCTCATTTTTTTATTTCCATTTTTTTCATACTTTTTCTTTCTACGTCCTTATTTCGAGAAACACCTGGATTTTTGTAGCCTGTTATATAGGCTCCGAGATAGTAGTGCAGCGGGAGCAGGGACAGAGAGGACCATTTTTTTTCCCGCCGCTAACCCCTTTCCTAGATCGCGTGCGTCTTATTTTAAATAGGTTTGCTTCTTTTATCTTACCGTCATCCCTACTTTGAGATCCTACGCAGTATACCCGTAAGTTCAACATGGATGAAACGGATTGAAAACAAGCCTAAAATTTCGAATTTATTGGGTTTGCATAAAATCTAGTTATTAGTAGATTTCTCTATGAGCTCGAGTTAGAACGCAACTTACAATTTGTTACCCCACTTTTTAAAGCAACTTAACCAAATTTTAACAATATTTACTTTTTTAAACAAAATAATACAAAAAGTAAGCATGTTCAACAGTTAAGCACTCGTTGAGAGCACGCTTCATGTATATATCAAAGGCGAGAACAGCAGATAATTTTCTTACCAGTCTTTGTTCACTTATTGTCTGCATATCTCCTCCTGATAAAAATGTTAACATTCGCATGAAAGTGATAAAGTACTTATTTGTAGTATATAACAAAATAAAGTCCGGAAGATTCATCGATATTTTGTGGGCATTTTTACTAAATAAAACAATTATTCAACTCGCACTTGTTCCATGGAGATAATATAGTCAACCCATACCCAACAACTCGCAGGTGAAATAATTGTGTTACTTAATGCTACATGTAACTAAAACTTGGGGCTCAAGTTGGTCGACGAAAGTCAAAAGCTGAATTTGCCGTAAATTCAGCATACGTCTAATATGGATAAATGATATGCGTCACGTTACTGGATTATGTTTTGTCTTTGCCATGAAATGGTCTTTACTTACAGCTGTATCCTTTCCTTTGTGTAGACTCCTTGTGACAGTTCTCCCTGTAAGAACACAGGAAAATGCATTTCGTTGTACCAGGAAAATGGATATACGTGCATCTGCGTGAAAGGATTCACCGGAAAAGACTGCGAAACGAGTAAGAAATACTGAGTTGAAACAATGTTGCCACTTACTATAATACAATCACAGGTGACACACTATTAACGCACTTTGCAAGTGGGAACGGTAATCAGCATAAAGCTTTTGTACTGATTTTAGGTATTATATTATTGACTTTTACTTCCTTGAGCTCACTATAATAAAAAAATTTAACTGAGAATATTTTAAAACTACCTTGAAAGAAAAGTCGACCAATAAGTATCGCGCTGAACTTTTACTTTTCCTTGACGTTACCCGACAACAAATTTCAATTTCTCTGCTTGATCGATAAAAGTGACTTATTTATAGACAGGTTTCTTCAACAACCTCTAGAAAAAGGTTTACATTTACAAGTTGTGTTTTGACTCTTGCTAAAGTCTAATGTATACCTTGGCTGAAAAGTACATATGATTTTTTTAAATATCTTTGATTCTCTCTCCTGCAGATATAAATGACTGTGTCAATTTTACTTGTTTGAACAACGGAACTTGCATCGACCTAATCAATGGCTTCAACTGCAGTTGCCCTCCAGGATTTACCGGCAACCGATGCGAAATTGGTTAGATACTTGTTGCTGCTATTTCCATTGCATTTCCGCCAAAACACAACATGAAACACCAAATGTTGGACGCTGTTGAATGCTGATGGCTGATAAATATGGATCAATTTTAAATCCTACATGGATCCTACATCATCCGACAATGTTAATAATGTTATACCTGCAAGATAAGTTTTTATCGCGCGGTTCTAGGGTCCACTGGATAGATGTTTTGCAATTTTATTGACCTCGAATTCCTCTCGGTCCAAGAAAATGCCGAAAAAAAAACTTGGCCAATACTAACGCATTGGCCGAACAAGTTTGGTCATTAACGCATACATATTTATTTGTCATTAATTTTTGATTATATTTCCTTTAGATATAAACGAATGTGAGAGCAGTCCTTGTTTAAACAACGGAACATGCACTGACCGAGGCAACGGATTCAACTGCAGTTGTCCACCAGGATTTTCGGGCAATCGATGTCAAATTGGTTAGCTGAGTTTAGCTTTTATTTTTATTGTTTATCGTCTTGAAAATCTATGGACTAACTGACGGTGTTGGTATTACATGTTCAATAATTCAGTGATTTCTGGGATCGTTTGGGTGGGTAAGAGTTAATTATAATTGGTCGATGGTATTCAGGGCAACCATTAGCTAATCAAGAGCATTAACGCTTGTCCACCAAACGATCCCAGAAATCGTTGCGCTAAGAGCTGGTACGTACCCTTTGCCCTTACAGTTCCTAATTTTGATGCGTGTTTGGATATCATTCTGTTACAGATATTAAATTCTTGTTTGTTTGTGTGATTATTTTCTTTTGACTCTCGCTAGTTTCGAAAGTTAGCATTTGTAAATCAAAATGTATCTCTTCGCTTGGAAAATCTTGAATGCAGTGGATTACGTTGTGCTTCAAATGCAAAGGAATTGGCTAATGAGTTTGGATAAAAAAACACCTTATAAAAGTTTTACAACTAAGTTAAACCTTTTAACTCTTAATATAAACACCTGCTGATGCCCAAACATACTTGATGAAATCGATATATTTATGTTCGAATGTCCTAAACGTTAGTGAGGGGGGAGTTGCTAACAAAGGTCTCGACTGAAATATTTTCCGACAAAAAGCGTTTAGCTCGTAAAACACATTTGTTATATCATGAATTTCGCTTATTATTTCTTTGCATACTTGGCTTGCCTTAAAAGTTACAGAAACGTTTTAATACTCCTATTTTAGGCTAATCTTTTGCCAGCTAGACTATGTCAGCACAACGCCTTGAAATTCGGTAGCATCTCTGCAAATTTCTGGGTAAATGAAACAGCGTTGACTTTCAAAACCTCACTAAAAACTCAACTGAGCAAATCCAGCGGGGAGTGCAAAAGATAAACATGTATATTGCTTGCCGTCCTTAATTATATCGATGTCATTTGAGCATCGACATGTATGACAAATTCGTTGCTTTTTGAATCCATGAAACAAAGCGAAAGGGAAACAAAGAAAATTTAATCCCAACTTTTGTAGGTTTACAGAAAGCTGAATTTAATCCAGGGCTCGGCTCGTTGAAGTAGTTATAACATCATATAGTGAAGACAATGAATGTCTATAGTTTTCGTACTGAAAGTTAACTGAGGCCCCGAAACGTTCTCACTTTCTCGTGCTTTTCTTGTTCTGTTTGGACATTACTATGGCAACACAGAGTACCTAACCTGTTAACCTATGGGAACATTCAACTGAGGGAATTCGTATCCATTAAACGTTCCTGGCAATAAATGACTTTAAACGAGTAAACTGCCTTGTCGAAACAATTTTTATTGTATCGAGTTCTTCGTTCTTTTTCACACAAGCGGACCACTTTGATCCTTAT